AGGGTTCTGTGCTTTCTCGTCCGTAGCCCTTCTTCCTACCATTTCCTCCATCTACCAGGAAAGGATGATTGGTCGAAGTGGCCATATGTAAAGAGACCTACACCGGTGGATGCGTTTTTGGACGCTGATCTCGAATCTGCTTTCCAAATCTGCCAAACGATTTTCCGAATGGAGTTATGAAGGAAAGTAGTGCAGCGGTAGTAGTCCGGGTTCACGTGCGAGACGTCGTAGGATCGATTCCCTGGCGGGTTCTCTTTTTTGCCTTCGCTGCAAAATGATTGAAAAGGCTCCCAACTACCTTACTCGATCAATGCTTGCCTGTAGTTACCCGTGCAAAGACTTTGCGAGGAGTTTCTAATCAGTTTCGGCGGTACTTACTAAAGACTGCACATGGAGCCCACAGAACTCTTGGCAGACGTTTTTGCAGCAAACAAGTGTGATATTCGTGTTCCGGAGATTAAAATACCCCTAGGGACAAGTTTGTAGCCAAATTTGAGATTTCGACCAAATTTCGAAATAAGCTGGGTATCTATCCATTCATCCATCAGCCTATCATCGAAGCCTATATAGCCTTGAGACGATATAAGTTTTTTTTTTTTTTTTGGTTTCTGAAGAGTGTAAAGCAGTGTCTGGTTTTCTGTTCGCATGATTTCAACACCCACATTTTATTATTTTCAAATTTAAAGGGTCGCCGTCGTCCAAAATAGGTCAACCCTGGAACTACCGGCTATGGATATGTAGCATCAATGAGTGACTCGCCCACTTTTTTGAAGTTAATTCAAAATCTCGAATTTTTCTAGAAATCGGCCCCAGGAGTTATTGGACTACTTGAACACAGATCTCACATTCGTTCACTCAAAAACGGCTGAAGCGCGCTCCGTATACTGGCGCGCCTTAACCTTATGTAGTGGCATGCAAGTTAGGAAAAATTTCGAAGTTATCGACCTCAAACTCATCCAAAAGCAAGTAGGGCTGACCAATGATGAAGGAATCATGTTTCACTACTGCCAAATAGTCAGTCACAAAAATGCAAAAGGAAAAACACGCGAGGGATCCGAACCACTGACCCCGAAATCCCAAGCCCACCACCTTACCCACCAGGCCACCAGCACTTGATCGTAAAGGCTCACTGCTTCGTTCACAGCCGCTGCTGCTGAGGCCGATTCCTCACTGTGTTAAACTGTGTGAGGGAACAAAAAACCTCCGTAACTCCGTTCAGCGAATCGTTTGGCAGATTTGGGAAGAAGATTCGAGATCAGCGTCCGAAACCACATACCATGATACTTGTCTCATTTCATATGGCCACTTCGACCCTTCATCCTTCCCTGGTTAGGCGAAATTGCTGGGAGCCAGGCTCGTCAACGAAGCGCAAAATACATGGCGGATTAGTTGAGTGAAGGGAATTCTTCGTGCCGGTATTTATCAAGTTTCTTTAGGCTGTTATGAGAAGAATGAAAATTTCGAATGTGGTTGGTAAAATCGTCAAGCTGGATCGAAAGACCGGATCGATTGACCTTTTCGTCGATCGATGTACTTTCAAGGACAGAAGAACGAGCAACGAAATCTTTTTCTGAGTCCTTATAACCACTTTTTGTTTTTTCGTGTAACCTTCACATGTAATTCAATCCTCAATGAAGATCTCTATATTAAGTCTTTCAACAGTTCGTCTGTCATTGGACTAACGACAAGGTCTGTCTATGAATCTGCATAATCACGGGTGTGGTTCACTAGGACAGGGAAGCGACCTTTTCGCGTTTCACAGCGCGAAACATTTTTGCTGCAGGAACCTCAGGTCCACCGCTGATCATGAGTGGACCTGAGTTCCCGCAGCGAAAAATGTTTCGCGTGCGAAACGCGAAAAAGTCGCTTTCTGTCTAGTGGACCACACCCCATAATCCCTTCTGACTGGTTCGCAGACAGTTTTGCTAGTTGAGAAAGATGGTTTCGATCTGATATGGAGGCTACGCTGATTCCGTTGCCAACATTTGCGCGTTCACTTCGTTCGCATTGATGCCCAGGCTATACTCATGAAGGAAGAGCAACCTTATGTCCATAGACCACCTCCATCCGTCACCTTCATCGTAGGCGTAGAGATTGGAAAAATCTAACTGTGCTGTTCACTAGTCGTAAAGGTCCTTACTAGTCCTGGAGAAAAAGGTGAAGCTGACACAGCCCCATCCAAGGAGTTCTCTTTAAAGGCAGCGGTTACGCTAGGTTTAAATGGGGTTCAGAGGGGACGAGGGGGTCCTCAATGGTAAAGAAGCAGCGAAATCCGTTCAGGAAACGAGAAATGGGACCCCCTTTTGTAGCCGTTGATTGCGGCTCTCAGATGGACTGCGGCGAAGACCGCGCACGCGTGGACGAGATTACGCAACGCGTGCTGGGCAGCAAACACAAACAGCAGGCATGGCGCCCTAACCGCGCCGCGGCTGGCAACGCAGCTCGCCCAAGCCACCGGTGAATCAGTGGGCGTCACGTCACTGGGGGCGGGGCGTCACGCGGGTCCTGCTCAGCAACCACAGCACCTTTCGCCGTGGGAGGACCACACATCGCTTCCTTGGCAGCCAAGTAATTGCTCCGTGTGGCGCAGGTTCTCCCCCGATGCGAAAATTCCTTATCGTAATCGCTTCCTTTAAGCTTGCAGAAAACTTCCGAGAATGAAATTTAAAATGTCGCGGGAATTTTCCTAGGACCAATATCGGATTCAAGGCTTGTTGGGTAGATCAAGCAGAGCGTACCACAATCAAGTAAACATGGACAGACTATGCGGTCTGGACTGATCAGTAACTTTTTGTTTGCCCCATATGTTAGTCCTTTTTCAAAGGTGTGAAGACGTTTGGAAGTGCATCTGGCTAACACAGAAATTTGATGGTCCTTTCAATGTTGTGCCAGTTTAAGTTCAGTTTGGCGCAATGTGGCTCGAGGGCGGCCAGTCGCCGCGCGCGATCTCTGCTCGTACGCGCCCTGTAGTACTAAGTCTAGGAGTGGGCAGGAATTTGAGAAGATGAAAATTGCTATGATCCTACCTGCTACCACTTTATTTTGAAACTGCGTCGCGGCGGCGATGGTAATGGACCCGAAGGACTAAGCCGTGGAGTGCCCAAACGAATAGACGTCGCGCCGCCGCGTGGCCCCCTCAACTACGCTAGCACCAGAATTCCTATTGCTTAGTGGTCTCAGCGTACACAACAGCATTTATTGCCTATGAAATCACTGTTTCTTGTTAGCTCCACCTTCGTCGCTTCACCTCTTGGCCTTTCACCCCTCCCGCGCGAGAGGATACAGAATTTTGGACTTTGGTGGAATTTTGGACCTTTTTTTTTAAGATCACTTTTCGTGTTCGAAATTCATGTGACTTACAGCTTCTGTTTCAGTTGTATAATATTCATGACAATCCAACTATTACACATGGTAAAATCACAGTGAAGTAGATGTGAAGTACGGATTTTGTCGATGAGGTAATGAAGACTAGTTACACAATTGAAAATGAATTACAACTACAACGATTAGCACCACGTTCTTGCGCAGGGTCAACCGTCCTTGGGCTGATCACAATGTTTTCATCCCCCCTCCTTATGAGGGACTTCCCACGTGATTCCTTTCAACGGTTAGTGCTTGTCGATAGTGAGGTTGAACCTGCCACCACTTGACTTACTCAAACCCCGTCTCAACCTTCCCCCGCCGAAAAATGGCGTTGAGGAAGTGGGAGTGGTGAGAAACATACTTGCTGAAACGGCAAGGTCTTTCACATGTCGCTCCACCCAGCATATTTCTTCCATCAACAGGTCCTCCCTGTAAAACCAAATGCGACCACCCCTCATCCAAAGAAAGCACAAATACGACCCCCTCCCCTTTGAATTTGGCACAACGGACGGTTGCCCTGTTTTGGTGTTAAAAAGGCCGAGCGGCGCCAATCGTGGTTATCACTGAGTGGAATACGGTAGCGATCTATGGCAACATAACATTTCAGCAACGAATCAAGTCCCGTCTCTTAGAAATCTGGCAAATCAATAGCTGAATATCGCTTAACAGTACTGGCAAGAAGTACACTGTCAAATAATCTGGGCAATATAGGCAGCATTAATGGAGCAAAGGGATAAAGAAAAAGGAAATTAACGGCTACACCCGAATACTAAATCAGATTTGCAATAGCAGGTGTTAGTCGGCCCAAATGCACTCGGATATGCTCCGAATGTTGAGAAATGGAAATCGGATGGTGGAGACTCCAAGAAACTCTTCTAATTGGTCACTGCCATTTTGTTTCCTTAGAGTGTGTCGATTGGTCACCAGCTCCGCGCTGTGTACTTTCATCGCGTGCCACGTTTTGCTCGCGCGTTCGTTCGGTACGGTGACGGATAGGTGTTCAGGCACGGTGAAATAGCGCGCTTTCGCATGAGGACGAACAACATTGAAAGAAATGAAGATTGTGCCAGTTGTCGCGCTGCGGCACGCAATGAAAGTTAGTGGCGAAGCGTTGGTGACCAATTGTCACATCTCCATTTCCTCACGCATCCGAAGCTGCCCGTGTTCATATAAGGCTCCGCTACACCTCTATGGCGGTTGTCACATCATCGCTTCGGTCATCTGACATGGACTTGCAAGACTTTGCCGGACATCTCGATCCGGTCGCTCGTCGTGCAGTATCAGTTCTTCCATTAACGAGTCGACATTAGGCCAAACCAAACAGGCGAGCCAACTGTACGTCCTCAACCTGAAATCAAGTTAGTGAGTAGCATCTGAAGTACGCGTTTGGCCAGGAATTGCATTTTAAGTATTTCCTTGAAAGCACATCCCACAACAGAGGGAGGTGGATTAATCTTTTTCTTAGGTGGAAAAGAGCGGCTCCCTAAGGCAAAAGATGTAGCCCGTGGCTTTAAAAGGCGCTACGCTACAGAGTGACTAAGGGTTTGCCTGCCAACCCAATAACTGTGAATTGTGCTTGCGAAACAAAGTACAACAGTAGTGGAGTGTCTGCGTCTCGCTTGTCCCCTATGCTCTCTTGCTTCGCTAGTATGTTCTTATGAATAGAAGGAGGAGGGGGGGTCAGCGGTGAGTAACATACGCGCCGTGTGGCAACTGGAGCTTGCGAGTTCGTATGGTCATGAAACACTATCCAGGCGAGTTCAAAACACTGACGCAGTTCGAAAGGAATAGTTCAACTACAGACGCTAGTGGTGGTGTTGACTGATGCCGGGGCTTAGTTTGCAATTATGACGGGCTCCTCGTGGGAAGGAGAGTGCATTGATTCTCGGGAGAAAAAGAAGCAATCGAGACATCATACCATTTGTTGTGCAACAGCTTGGAGGGACGGAAGTAATAACAGTAATCGTCCCGTCCGACATTCTGACGTTGAGATCACTGGTGCACGTTGACATCTGAAACTGAGAACAAAGATTGCTTATTTTAGTGGAATTCTCCGATATCAATTGGACCAATTTATTAGACTTGGCCCATGTTTGGAGAAAAACTAGCCACGGACGCATTTCACAATCGAGAGGTATGGTTACTTAGCTCATGAAAAGAGGCGAGGAGTGGACCGCAAAAGGAGAAAAAGAAAGGATTTGTCAAAAAAAAATTCGAAATAATGATCACCTTCATCTGGGTAATAGGCGGTCTACAAGGATTAAGCATGGACCCCAGGACAAGAGAGTGAAGGGACGAGCGAGGCACAGACATCAGAATATTCGCAAGATGCCTTGATGTCTGTGCCTTGCTCGTCCCTTCACCGTGCGAAATTTAAACGCAAAGGTAACAGTGAACGGTATTGATGACACCATTGGCCGTCATTGGTGGGGGGGGGGGGGTGGCGACCACCTCACGCCCTTCCAAGGACACCCAATGCCGGCACCAAAACCGCTCCGCCTCTCAGCCGTTGCGCCTACTGCTTTTAATGACTAGTTTCTGCCGCAATTAGCACGCGCTCTGGCACTTCTTCGCGCTACGTATCACGTTCCTCATGGATGTGACTGTCCCCATTCAGCTAACCGTGGATTATGCCTTACGATGATCAAAATTCGAAGAATATCCTAGGGGAAAATAGGTTTTTAAATTAGACTAACCGTCTTTCGATGGCACGTAAGCATGCGATGCGGGCACTTTCGACAGTGTTCGAGTCACTCACATCTCTTGCCACTGAATGGAAAGGTTTAAATGGAATAAGGGCGCTCAAAAATAATCGATAACGTATAAGAAGTCCTACCTGGGTTGAAAAACAGAATAGCTTTGAGCGCGACATATTCGCACAAATCCACTCCCAAGCGACGCATCGGTAACACTAACTCGTCAATAATTCGTCCAACGACACAACTGAAGAACGTCTGACTTGTCTCCTTTGCATTTTCCCTACTGATCCAAAAACATAATAAAAACAACCAATCAACAGAATAGGGAAACCCCGCCCAAAGTGGGCGGTCCTTTCGAAACGATCGAGGATAGCTACTGACTTGATGTCACCAATATTCGCAGCATGTTCCTTGGGAATGAGGGTGTCGTTGGCAAGACAAATCGAGTTCTCCAACGACAGCGATCGATACGCCACACCAAGAATGATGATTTGCGCAGCTGTCGCTTTCAGCAGTGCTGCCTGAAATTCAATAACAATCAATAAATCGATCACGGGTAAACCAGCATTCCTGGGGTAGGACAC